GCCTTGACTCCCTGAGCAAGAGTGAATGGGTTCCTTTTATTTAAGTTCGGGATGAATATTCAGAAAGAGGAGACTTGTCATTTTCCGTAGAGAGGGGGCACACGATGGTGCCGATGGTGCCGTGAGCCTTCAGGAAACAGGCCTGTACCTGTCCTGTGGATTATGTAAATGAGGCTTGTGCTCCTCCTTGGGTGAAGATTGTAGTATTATAATGAGGTTAAGGTAACTGTCAGTCATTCTACGGTTCCCTCCAAGTCCATCTGCACAGCTGTGTGTGGGGAATTAAGTTCAGCCTGATCTGGGTGGTATGGGCCGGCTGGGATTCTCTGTCTGGGCTGCTGTTGATGCTTGAAGGGTAGTTTTTGTTTCCATGCCATCATGGGATGCTAGGCCTCTTGGGGTTTTTTGCCTGAGTGATGAGATAAAGATGGAAAGAAGAGCTTAAGGAAAAATGTGGGGCAAAGGTCAGTGGATACAAGCAGGTGAGCAGTAAAGGTCAGGTCTTAGGGTCCAGCTGGTGACGACCCATTAGTGCAGAAGGGAAGATGTTTCCAAGAGTTTGGAGGGAGTAGGGCGGTGCTCCTCAACCTGACCGCCAATTACAGTCCCCGGGGAAGCACCCCCCAGAAATTCAGCTGTAACCGGCCCAGGAGCAGCCGGGGAGTCCAGAATTGGGAGAAAGCCATGCTTTGTATGCATTCGTCATTTTTGCCATGTCTCTCCCAGAATCCGAGTCTTCAAAGCTGACAGTGAAGCATTCCAGATTTTGTGGATGGTTCCCATAGAGTACAGACGACAGCAGAAAATGAATGATGCTGGGCAGAGATTACTAAAGACACCACAAAACAATCTGCATGACTGTTGGTGCGTGTTCAGACACAACTGAGAAAAAAATCCGCCCATCACGATTTGATGCTTGACGCAATTCGTGAAATGAGTTAATATTCATAAACGTGAGCCACGCAAAGTAAATGTGAATCCAGAGGCAAAGTAGGGGATGAGGATGGCTGGCTGCCCAGCAGATCCCAGGGACCCATGGACTATCCCTAGGGAGCCAGGATCTAGGAGTCCTGCTAGGAAGTGAGCTAGCTGACAGACAGCCATACAGCCATTCAGATGGGGCAGGGACGCTGACGGGGATGCTGAGGAGGAGGAGAAGCAGCTCCTTCCTCTATGAGTGGGCGAGGGCAGGGAGAAGAAAATGTGGGGCTCCTGGTATAAAGAAAACTGAATGGGTTTTGTGTGTCTTTGTGTTTTTTGGGTTTTTTTTGCTTGCTGCACTTTTAGCTGAGCTCCTCTGAAAGCGAGATGTGTGTCCATCTGGAAACACATTGACCCACACCCACATGAGAAGTGTGGAGGTAGGTGTGCATGCGGGGAAATACATAGGTATAGGTAGTGCTTGGGCAGCCTGGACGGAGTTTGAGAAGTTGGGGATCTTTGTGGCAGGTATAGTTCTGGGGACTGGGGAGGAAGATGGTCACCGGCATCAAATGAGACTTGTAAACCCTGGAATTTAAATTTAGACCCCCAGGACAGGGTGTGATTGTTCAGAGGGTAAGGAAATAAGGCTATCAGTGATCTGAGTTGGGCCCTAAAATCTCTCTGGGACACACAGACTGTAACACACACGAGGGGACAACCTGAAGGCAAAGGGGTGGTCTTCAGTCATTTGTATCAGAATGACCTGGGCTGCTGGTCCCCAAGGTGCTCTGGGGCCCACCCCGGATCTACCAAAGCTTGGGTGCCAGGCTTTCTAGGGATTAGGCCTGGGGAGTTCAAAATTTTAAAGACGTGCCCCAGGTGATTGCAAGGTGACTAAGGACAGAGGGTCTTTATAGAGTTAGTATACAGGGCTAGAGGAGGGTTGAGAATGGGCCTCAAGCTTTAAAATCTAGCATCTAACCCTGACTGATCTGCTGTGAGACCAGGAATCTGTATCCTAAGCCATTCCACAGACGATTAGGATAATCATTCACATTAGGTGTCCTTGGAGGGAATTAACTGGAAAGAAACTTACCCCATCTGTAACTTGACTCTGCAAGTCTCTGCACGCCTTGCCTCTTCTATTCAAACTGGGGTATTCTGAACAGACTCCCAGAGCCAGCCTGGGGCTGCAGAGAGGCTGAGGCCATTGTGTTATTTCTTCCCCCAGCTTTACTGGGATATAACTGACATAAACATTAAGGTGTGTGATGTGTTGGTTTGATACACTGATACATATAATTCTACCACTGTGGCATTAGCTAACACCTCCATTGCGTCTCATAATTATCATTTCTTTTTTGTGGTGAGAACATTTAAGATCTACTCTCAGCAACTTTCAAGTATACAATACAGTATTATTAACCATAATCACCATGCTTTTCATTAGGTCCCCAGAACTTACTCATCTTACCATTGAAGGTTTGTTCCCTTTGACCAACATCCCCTACCCCCCAGCCCCTGGTCACCATCATTCTACTGTTTCTCTGCATTTGGCTTTTTTAGATCTCACAAATATAAGTGATGTCATACAGTATTTGTCTTACTGTGCCTGGCTTGTTTCACTTAGCCTCATCCCCTCAAGGTCCATCCATCCCGGTTGCAGAGAGCAGGATTTCCTTTTCTTGTAACTGAGTAGTATTCCATTGTCTATATATATCCGTTTATCTGTTGCTGAATACTTAGGTTGTTTCCAGATCTTGGCTATTGTGAATAATGCTGCGATGAACATGGGAAGGCACTTTTTGTTTGTTTGCTTGTTTTATTTTGTTATTTTGAAGTCCTGCTTTCATTTCTTTTGGATATATCCCCAGAGGTGGGATGGCTGGATCACGTGGTGGTTCTACTTTTAATTTTTTGAAGAACTTCTATACTGTTTTCCACAGTGGCCACACCAGTTCACATCCCACCAACAGTGCATAAGTGTTCCTTTCTCTGCACATCTTCTGCCAATGCTTATTATCTCTTATCTTTTTTTTTTAAGTTTTTATTTAGATTCTGGTTAGTTAACATTCAGTGTAATATTAGTTTCAAGTGTACAATATAGTGATTCAGTATCTCTTATCTTTGTGATGACAGTGATTCTAACAGGTGTGAAGTGAGTGGGGCATTGTTTTGAAATCTTTTTGAATTGATAAGAAGCCACAAAATGCTTTTGGCCTCAAAGGAGGGAGTCTGGTCACCATTCTTCCAGCTCCACTCAGAACAGCAGGCAGCAGAAAGTCAGCTGTAATAGAGTTCTAACATCCACGGATGGGAGTGGACGTTTAAATAGGCATGTGTCTACACCAGCTGAGGCCCTGTTTTCTGGTACCACTGGCCATGGAGGCCACATCTTTGCCAGTGGTTGAATTTCAAGGCAGCCTGACCCTCAAGTCCTTAGCTCTCACCAAAGGCAACCTTTGTTTTACCAAAAGTCTTTCCATTCTTATCCAAAAATAACACTGTATGCAGTTAATAATATTCTATTTAATATCAAAATGGGCAGGGGGTCCACAAGGTCAAAACTATTTTCATAATAAAATGTTATTTGCCTTTTCGCTCTCATCTTTTCATGACTGTATGAAGCTGTGAGCTTGGGGAAAACTCTGATATCACAACAGAGTGAGTCCAAAAGCAGATAGGAAACTCCATCTGTTTTTTATTAAGCTAAACATTTAAAAAAATTGCAGGAATGTAAAATGGTGCCACACTTCTCACTAACACTTTGTTTTGTTTTGTTTTGGAAAATACAGTTATCTTTTAAATTATGTTAATGCGGTAGGTTTAATATTGTAATTTTAAGTAAGTGTTTTTAAATATTCCGTTTTAATTTCTAATATGGAAAATTTGGGGAGGTAGACCCCACATAAATAAAAGGTTCTTTCAATAATATTTACGAGTATAAAGGAGTCCAGAAATCAAGAAGTGTGAGAACCACGGCCTTATTTCTTCCCCAAATTGTAGCGTCCTATAGGCTCCATCCCTAAAGTTTTCCAGAGTAAAGCTCCCTTTCCCCGCCGCGATTGGGCTCCACCCTGCTGATAAGCTAACCTCTCTCACCCCTTTCCAGAACAGCTGCCTCCAAGCTTCCCCACCGCCCTTCCCATCCCTCCTCCTGGTCCTCCCTTCCCGCCCTCCAGAGTGAGAAAGCATCCTTTGACTCTGCTCAGCAAACCTAGAGTGGGGACAAGGGACTCGTGCAGTTGAGGAAGTAAGGGACGGATCACAGACACTACCCTCAAGGAACTTCTGATTTCGTAGGGACGTACGGACAGGTAAAGCAGCTCCAGGAGGTAACTGTCCTTGCCTTTCGCTAGCTAACACTCTTCGGGGAGAGTGGGTATTGAGCCCGCCCTGCCGGCACTCTCCTCCCCGGTCCCCCGCCCCCACTCCGCGCCTCCCCTTTCTCTTCCGCCACCCTGGATTCCCGAGATCCCGGGCCCGAGCGCCCCCTAGTGGCCGTCCCTCGTCGGTGCAGCCTTTTTCAGAGGTGTCCGAGGCTTAACTAGAGTTAAAGACCTTCCAGTTCTGGGAACCTGTCCCTGTCAGGATCTGTCTTGGTTTTCGGCGGCCTTCTGTCTGTCCCTGTGCTCATGTTTACCCCTGGATGAGCAATTCCAGCCTGCTTCTGCCTCTGTGCCTCCCGCTTATCTTGTATTCGTTTCCCCCACCAAGCCCATTAGTAGGTGGCAGAGTCTGTCATGGTACAAATAGTATGTGCTGCGGCTTAGACCCAAGTCCAAGGAGCACGATGCCAAAGTTCCACTTCCTACTGGCATGCCCCACAGTAAATAATCTGATGGCTAAAGCAGCCCTGGACATTGGCGAACAATGGATATTCTACGTTGGGGTCAAGTTCCTTCCAAAGGGGGAAAGTGAATCCACAGCCTCTGAATCTCAAGGCTTAGGCTGGATTCCGGGCTCTCCAGGAGTGTATTTCCCGCATTCTGGGGTGGGGGTCAATACCTAAGACCTCCACCTTCCACGTTCCGGGGCTTTCTTCCAGGGATGTGGCGTCTCCGTCCCCGCCCCCACCCTCACCCCCACCCCCACCCCCGCGCTATGGCTGTGAACAGGACTCCAGGTCGTCTGCTATCAAATCTCAGAACTCCTCAAAGTAAGTATGCAACTTCGACTCTGGCTTCCTCAACACAAAAAGCAAGCCCTAAAATCGAGGAAGGAAATGCCAAAGTGTCTCTTTTTTAATTGAACCGTAGAAATTCAGAATGAAAGTATCCTCAAAGTGAGGATACTGGGAACAGGATTGGGGAGTGGAAAGGGAGTTCCAGATTCAGCAAGATATCATCAGGGACCAGCCTGAAGATTTCTCCTACCTCTGACCCAGAGTCCATTAGCAGGAACCTCACTGCCCCATCAACAAACTCGACCATCTTAACCTAGTGGTTTCCATGGTAACCATCAAAGAGTGATCCCCTTTTCTTTCCTACAGATGTTCCTCCTACCCCTCCTACCCCTCCCCTTGACAATCACTTTCAGACAGGGCCTAGAACTGGATTCTGTTCGACTCTATTTGCAAATCATCCCTCCCCCTTTTTTTTTAAGATTTTATTTATTTATTTGACAGAGAGATCACAAGCAGGCAGAGAGGCAGGCAGAGAGAGAGGAGGAAGCAGGCTCCCTGCTGAGCAGAGAGCCCGATGCAGGGCTCGATCGCAGGACTCTGAGATCATGACCTGAGCCGAAGGCAGCGGCTTAACCCACTGAGCCACCCAGGCGCCCCCTCATTTCCCCCTTTTAATTCATGTTTTAAGAAAGTACAAACCAGGAGCACCTGGAAGCATGGGAGTTCATTTTATTATTCTTTTTAAGTATGCTTAAATTTTCCTATAATGAACACAAAATTTTAAAGTAAACTAAAAAATTTTTAAAATAATGTCTATGGGGGCACCTGGGTGGCTCAGTGGGTTAAAGCCTCTGCCTTCGGCTCAGGTCATGATCTCATTGATGCTGGGATCAAGCCCAGCATCAGGCTCTCTGCTCAGCAGGGAGCCTGCTTCCCCCTCTCTCTCTGCTTCCCTCTCTACCTACTTGTGATCTCTCTCTCTGTCAAATAAATAAATAAAACCTTTGAAAAAATAAATAAATAAAATAAAATAATGTCTATGCCCATCGTGGGGCTTGAACTCACAACACTGAAATCAAGAGTTGCATGCTCCACCACCTGAGTCAACCAGGTGCCCCTGGAGTCAAAAAAAAATTTAGGCAAAAAAGAAAAAAAAACATTCAAAACCCTCTTCCCACATATCTGAAGAAAATCTGGTCTTTGTGAAGAATGATGAGAGGTTGCAAAATAAATACCATTTTCTATAAAAGGAACTAATAGATTATAAGCATCAGTCCTTATTTGGGATATGGTAAAGATGTCAGAGTCTTAAGATTTTCATTTTGAAGTACAAAAAGACTATAGATAAATCTTTAAATTATAAGAAAACATAGGTATTTGGGGGAAATTTAAAAAAATGAATGAATCACATTGTCCTTCTTCCATAACTCCCTTCCCGTCTTTTACTCAAGTTGCCCCTGTACCATTCCAAATCTTTCAGACTTCCACAATGAGAAACCCAGCAAGTGTGAGCACCTGCTGTCCCTGTCCTACAACGGGGGTTGGGTAAACTACAGTCCTTGGGCCTATTCTGGTGGGGTGCCTGTTGTCGTGTGGCCAGTCAGCTAAGAATGGTTTTTGCATTGCTAACAGGCTATAAAACAGGCAAACACTCAAAGAAGGATGTGTGACCTACACTCGATGTCCAGCCTCTGGCCACATCTGGTCCACGAAGCATCTCTGCTGTAGGCTGGCTGGAGCCCTGGTGAAAGGTGGCTTTTCTTCCATCCAGGCAGCTATGACGAAAGGTACAGCCAGGAAGTTGCCATGCCGACGGGGAATTCAGTTCTTAAAATAGTCCACTGTGCTGAGGCATTTTCGGGGTGGGTGGGTTTGGAGGGAGGGGGTTTGGGAGAGGGGTGGGGAGAGATGATAAACTAATGAGTCAGACCCAATGGGTGACAGCTGTTCTGTCATCCCTCTGGCAATGTGAGGTGGGAAGGGGACAGCTCTCTAAAATGAGGTGGCAAAGAGACATTTTCCATTCAAAGAGCAGGAGAGCTTTGTTTCTTCACACTATTTTCCTGACAGAAGGAAATTCCCCTCTCTGTGGGTCCACCCTGCGGAGAATAGATGTAGGCACGCCTCACTCACACAATGCCTGCAGGATTGGGGGACCTGTAGGACGGGGAGGGGCGGGCTCTCTCACACGGCTGCCTCATGGCTCTGTCCACAGCAGGCCCGAGTCTCCTCATTGTCACAGGTAGCATCATCATGGAACAGTAGGGAACAAAATTCACCACCCCAAAATGTGTCTCTTCGGCACATGGATTATTGTAGGCTGATTATTTTTTAAGAAACAGAAGGCTCAGGAAGAACCTTCAACCTTCCCTTCATGGCCTACAACAATTTAGATAGACAACTTCCTCCAGCAAGGGAGCTATCACCATAGGTAACCACCATAGGTCACCATAATATGGATTAGGGGTGGTTGAGTTGTTTTCCTTCCCTTTATAGTCCCAGATCCCTCTCCACTTCTCCTTAACTCTGGGTGTCCTATAATCCTCAATTGCCTGACTTCTTGTGGGCCTTATTTTCCTATGGAGCCCCTTAGTATGTACTTAAATTTGATTTTCTCCTGCTAATCTATCTCATGTCAATTTAATTCATAGCCCAGCCCCCCCCAAAAAAAAAATCCCTTGAAAGATAGAGAAAATTTTTTCTTCCACAACAGGGCCAAAATGAAAATATATCACTAAAAATGTCTTCTATCCAGGGCGCCTGGGTGGCTCAGTGGGTTAAGCCGCTGCCTTCGGCTCAGGTCATGATCTCAGGGTCCTGGGATCGAGTCCCGCATCGGGCTCTCTGCTCAGCAGGGAGCCTGCTTCCCTCTCTCTCTCTGCCTGCCTCTCTGTCTACTTGTGATCTCTCTCTGTCAAATAAATAAATAAAATCTTTAAAAAAAAAATGTCTTCTATCCTGACAATCAGCCATCGATCAACCATCAATTGATTAACCAATCAATCAACTATCATTATTTGAGCATTTCCTGTCACCATTCTGTTGTGCCCTCAATGCCTGGAAGATGAAATGAGTACTTATTTTTTATTGCGGTAAAATATATATAACATAAAACTTACCATTTTGACCATTTTTTAACTGTACAATCAGTGGCATGAAGTACATTCACACTGTTGTACAACTAGCCCCACCATCCATCTTTGGAACCTCTTTATCATCCCATATACTGAAAGTCTACACATAAGTCTCCATTCTGTAACCACCCCCAGGCCCTGTCAACCACTATTCTATGTTCCATCTATACGAACCGCCTATTCTAGGAGTCTTGTATAAATAGAATCATACGGTATTTGTTCTTTTGTGTCTGGCTTATTTCACTTAGAATATCTTTAAGGCTCATCCCTGTGGATATGCATCAGAATGTCATTCCCTTTCAAGGTCAAATAATATTCCATTGTGTGTATAGACCATGCTTTGTTTAGCCATTTGCCCATGAATGGATATTTGGGTTGTTGCCACCTTTTGGCTATTATGAATAATGCTACTATGAACATGGACGTACAAATAGTTGTTGAGTCCCTACTTTCAGTTCCTTTGGTGGCAAAGTCCATTTTCAGAAAGAGAACAAGGAGAAGATTGAGAATGCAACCTCGGGGCGCAGAAGACACGACAGCAGCATTTTCTTACCTTTTCCATCCACCATCCAAAGTCCATCTTTGAGAAAGCCAGCAAGCCCCTTGTCTCCTGTCTTCCTCCCTCATCCATCCTCTAGCACTCTGCTTGTACTGCCTATTATCATGAGGTCATTCCCACGGGCACCTCTACTCCCAGATCCATCATCAAGGACAATGGGCAGCCTTAAGGTTGATGGTTAGTTCTCATATCTTTCAGAGTTGAGCATTATTAAAATAAAACCAATGGTATCTTTTAGCATGGTTTCAATGTGTGTTTGTAGTAAAGGACTCATTTCCCACCAGGAGCAGAGAATGGAAAGACATGGTGTGTGGCATATCACTAGCAGTTTTTTGGTTGGGAATGGGCACATGCTCTCAGTTGGCTCAGGCTGAAGGGAATGAATTTTATTTCATGGATGGGCATGGTTCTATTTCTGTTTTGGTTTGTTGTTCTCTAGAAGTGTCCCACTTGAGGCCAATTGAAAGGAAGCTGGGCTATGGATGCAGCTGACATCTAGGAAAGAAGGCAGAACTGAGAGAATAGCAGAATATGGTGCTAGCACCCTGATCATGCAATGCCTGAAGCCTGAACTTCCCCAGTTACCTCTGAAGAAGCTAATAAATCACCTTGTATTTCAAGCCAATTTTGGCAGGGCTTTCTAACGTTGGGGCCAAAAACATTCTAACAGATGCAGTCTGCATGGTGTTAGGATTTTGGTTTTAACCCGAAGAAGAGTGAAATATGTTTTGAGGTTTCTGCACAGAGAACCCAGGGAGAGGGCTCAGTCAGATCTGCACTTCAAAGCATCTCTTTGGCAGCAGGGTGGAAACAGTTAGTAGGGAGTTGGAGTGGTTACAGTTAGGGGCCTTATTGTGCTAGTCAAGTCCTGGTGAAAGGTTGTAGAGGAGAGAAGAAGAGATCTGGGAGATTTTTTAAAAAATATTTTATTTATTTATTTGAGAGAGAGAGAATGAGTGTGAGAGAGAGAGAGCATGAGAGGGAGGAGGGTCAGAGGGAGAAGCAGACTCCCAGCTGATCAGCGAGCCCGATGCAGGACTCGATCCTGGGTTTCCAGGATCATGACCCAAGATGAAGGCAGTTGCCAGGCGACAGCCACCCAGGTGCCTGAGATCTGGGAGATTTTAAGGAAGTTGGGTAACTTTGGCAGAAGTCAGTAAGGTAGTAAGGCTGACAAGACTTGGTGATGGTTTGAGGGGAGGGGATGGCGGTGTCAGGGGTGACCTCTCCGTTTGTGACTTGCTCAGCTGGATGGAGGTGCGACCCCCATGATAGAATTGTTGTTGAGGAAAACAGATTGAACACTGACGGTGTCAGGTTGCTGGAGAAACTGGACTTCAGCAGGAGAAGCAAGAGCCAACATTAGCTTAGCGCTAGCCATGAACCAAGTATGCTTTACCTGTATAAACTCATGAGCATAATGGCCTCACTGCCACTTTACAGATGAGGAAATTGAGGCATGGGGAGATTTAGTAACTTCTCTCAGGCCCATACAATCATCTAGGAAATGAGATTTGAACTCAAGCAGTTTGTCCCCATGAATTTCCCAAGGAATATATGCACCAAGAAGGTTCAGATGAGAAAGAGCAGATAATACAGTTCTGTTTTCTGGGGCCTGCGACCCTACCTCCAATGCAGAGCACTCTAGGAAGGTGGATTTTAATTCCTGGCCCAGCTCCCCTTTCCTAAATCAGTTAACGCCTTGATGGCTTCTGACTAAGCAGTCTGTATCCATATCCCAGCCCCAACCCCCTTCACAGAGCCACCTCAGGAGGCTGTTTGCTTCATCCGTGCCTGGAGCTGATCTGTCCCTGCTGCCCAGGGACCACAGCTTCAGCCTGCTGCTGTCAGCAGGGAGGAAGGGTGCCAGGCAGAAGGAAGGCATGGGTGAGCCCACTCAGAGGCAGGGCCAGCCTACACTGCGGTCACCCAGAAAGGCAGAAAAGAGAGAGCCATCCTGGATGCTCCAGGTCCTTGGAAAGCACCGCCTTTCGAAGTCTGTGCCCTGGAGTCGATCCGTTCTCGGCCCCTATGGGGATGTACGTCTTCAGTGGCTTCTCTTGTTAACACACAGTGCCAGGCAATGTCCTCAACAGCAGCCTTCCGGTAACACAGAGTGGTTTCCTGAGCCCTGTCTAGGGCATCCCTCAGTGGAGAGGACTGCAGGGACCCGTCTGGCACTGAGACTACTGAACGAGGGGGAGCTGGACACAGCTCTGCACAGGACCATTTCATCGTCTTCTTCATCACCGTCATCATAGTGTTTCAATTTATTAAGTGAATATACTGAACTTACCGTTTAATATCATAACCCCAAGTGTTAGATTGGGGCTCCCTTCCCCTTGAGATCTATAAGATAGGTACACTGATAGCCCCCCAAACACATAGACACTAAATTCCCAAGTCAATGGCTATCTAAAAGACACACCCTCCATCCCATTTCTACTAAATTGGTAGAAATTGCTACTAAATTGGTAGCAAGGAAGAGGTTTTTGTTTCTCATAGACTTTTCTGCCCCATGGGCAGCACCTCCTTCTCCTCTTCCTTCTTCTTCTTCTCCTCCTCCCCCTTCTTCTTTTTCTTTTACGATATGCTTCCATTATATGTATTTTTTTTATTAGTTTCAGAGCAGAATTTAGTGATTCATCAAATGCATATAACACCCAGGGCTCATTACATCGAGTGTCCTCCTTAATGCCCATCACCCTGTTACCCCATCCCCGACATACCTCCCCTCCTGCAAACCTCAGTTTGTTTCCTAGAGTTCAGGGTCCCTTATAGTTTGCCCCCTTCTCAATTTTCATCTTGTCTTTCTCTGACTGGTTTATTTCGATTAGCATAATACCCTCTCGCTCCATCCGTGTTATTGCAAATGGCAAGATTTCATTCTCTTTTTCTTAAGATTTTATTTATTCATTTGCAAGAAAGAAAGAGAGAGAGTGAACAAGAGAGGGGAGGAGCATGAATGGAAGGGAGGGACAGATGGAGAGAGAGACTCCCTGCTGAGCGAGGAGCCCGATACAGGGGTTTATCCCAGGACCTTGGGATCATGACCTGAGCTGAAGACAGGTGCTTAACTGATTGAGCCATGAAG